TCTGTCGAGAAGAGAGGCGAGAGAGTCACTAGAATCCCAATTTGTTTACTAGGCCGAGTACCCACCACCCCGCTTCATTCTTCTGCCCCCGCAGCGACTCGCTATCCCGCTCGGTACGTATAAACACGCACTCGCTTGTCACTCGGCCACTCGCCACTCGTTCGTTATTCGTCATCAAGCAGTGTGTGTGGAGTTATGTTCTCCAGCAATGTCTCAAAGCGTTCTATAGTCATTCTCAAAAGTGCCTTGAATTCTTTGGGATCTTCTAACTGTAATTCACAGGCTATTTGTTGCTCCAAGGGCATTCGCCTTAAAATCCATTTTCTGGTCCAAATTCGTTGATCTTCCTCTTCTAATAAATCCCACAATTCGTTAATAATATCTGGTAACAGCCGATTTAAAACACGTTTAAATTCTTTTTTTTTCGATCCATTGCAGACGTCGTGATCAAAACTGAACTGACTCGCCACTGGTGTAAATACGTGTAAACACCCACTCGGTTCGGCAACTCTCTCGGCCGAGAGCTGATTTACTGACTCGCCGCTGTACTCGTTAGGTGTAATCGACCCATAAGCGCGGGCCTGCGGACGGCGAGCATGGGTGGCTCCCCGTCCGACCAGAAACAGACCCGAGCGTACGGCGCGTCGCGTTCAGAGCCATCAGACCACCACAGATGGGGCCCAAAGTCAAAGTCAAAGTCAAAGTCAAAGTCAAAGCATTTATTTCAATTAAACCATAGTTTGGTGCTTTTGAAACGTCAACAAATACAAAATAAATAATAGTCTGTCAGTCAGTCCGTCAGTGAAACTAGGTGAAGCTAGGTGCTCATTCCAAAAAGTAGATTCGAATGGAGAAGAACGAGCAAGAAACTGCATTCGTTACTCTTTTTAAAAAAAGTATGTTCTACAATGTCTCTGATACATATTTCAATACTGTACGCATATGTAAGAACAATGCAAAGACACGCTTGACGCATTATACTAATAACTTACAAAAATTAAAAAAAAAATAAATAAATAAAATTTAACTTAAAGGCCAACATGGTGCTCACATTATGCATACTGACAATCCATAGAATTAGTGCTTCTATACAAGAAAAGGAAACTCTTTGTTTCAATAAAGAAATGGTCGATGCCATAAGGAAACTAGATTGTCTACATTAGAATTAAAGTGTTAAATTTTGTATTAAAATACCTACTATTGGAAATTAGCTACTGACTACATTTGAGTATTGTCCAGTGGAGCCGAACCAACATGCTGCCAAGCATTCTTATCTTCAAGATAATCTGTCAGTGTGTAGTAGGCTTGATTACATAATTCGCGCTTAATATATGTTTTAAATTTACTTTCACTGAGATCTAGTATGCTATTTGGTATTTTATTATAGCATTTAATACCTAACCCCATAAAGGATTTCTGTACTTTGGACAGTCTGAATTGCGGTATAGCTAACTTATTTTTGCCTCTAGTATTAAAATTGTGTCTATCGCTTCTTTTTTCAAACAATTGCCTATTTTTCCTTACATACATTATATTTTCATATATATATTGACAGGGCACCGTTAAAATATTTATCGTTTTAAACAATTCTCTCAGCGATTCGCAACGGCGTAAGTTATATATTGCTCGGATAGCCCGCTTTTGTAGAATAAATATTGATTCTATTTCTGCAGCTCGACCCCACAACAAAATGCCGTACGACATAATGCTGTGGAAATAACTAAAATAGACAAGCCTAGCTGTATCTACGTCCGTGAGCTGTCTAATCTGTCTAACTGCAAAAGCAGCTGAGCTCAATCTCCCCGAAAGCGCCTTTATATGCGGACCCCATTGTAGCCTATTGTCTAACGTAATGCCTAAAAATACTGTCTCGTCGACAAATTCTAACTTTTGACCGTTCAAAACAATATCACTATCGTTACTACGCACGTTTGGTAAACTGAATTTAATACATTTTGTTTTTTTCTCATTAAGTGCTAGATTATTAATGGTGAACCAATTATGCACTTGAAGAATGGAGCTGTTTACGTCGTCAAGATTATTTGTACGTCGATCTATTTTAAAAATTAATGATGTATCATCTGCAAAAAGCACCATTCGTGGTTCATTTTTAAATATAAATGGCAAATCATTTATATAGACTAAAAAGAGAAAGGGACCCAATATTGAACCTTGAGGAACGCCCATATTCATCCCAGAGCCCTGCGAGTTAATACCGTTAACATGAACCTTTAACTGTCTCTCTTCTAAATAAGATCTCATAAGACGGAGCGCAGAGTTTCTTATCCCGTAGTGATCTAATTTCAGCAAAAGTGTCTCGTGGTCAACGCAATCAAATGCTTTTGAGAGGTCACAAAAGACACCAATAGCATCCTGTGCTTCCTCCCAAGCACCAAATATTTCCTTAATCAAAGTGACACCGGCGTCAGTTGTACAACGACCTTTAGTGAAACCGTATTGTTGTTGGTGAAAGATGGAATGTTTATTAAAATGATGAAGCATCCGAGACAGCATCAACTTTTCAAAGACTTTGCTGAGAACCGGCAAAACAGACACTGGCCTATAGTTGTTAGGTTCTTTAGTGTCACCACTTTTAAATAGTGGGATAACCTTACTATATTTCATTAGGTCAGGGAAAACACCGTCATCTATACATTTATTGAAAATCACAGCCAGATATGGCGCTACAGTTTGGATAAGTGACTTGCAAACTATTACCGATAAGCCCCAAAGATCCTCCGTAGATTTGGTCTTGATTTCTTTAAAAACTTTTATAATTTCTAGAGGATTCGTATATCGAAAACTAAAACTAAATAGGGCCGATGCCGATTCGGAGTCGCGGAGAACCTAACGGGTAACCGGGGCTCCGGCTCGACCTCGACCGGAGAAGGAACGGGGTGGTAGTCAGTAAGAGTCTGACACTCCCTTCCGCCTCTCCCATGCGGGAGTAGTCATTCGATGACTTTCCCCCCTTTAAAAAAAAAACATTATCGTTACAAAAATCATTAACTTCTTTTCTGAAGCGAGTTTCTGGACGAGTTTAACATGCATAACATTTTTTTGAACTGTCAGTGAGTCTCTGAGAGAGACTTGATTTTGGCTTTCGTGATTTTCGGTGATAAGCCAGCGTAAATCAATCTGAAGAGTCTTATGGAGATGACTTGTTATAGAATTGCATTAGTTTTGTACATTTCTTCTTATCTAACTTTAATAGATTATAATATCATACCAATATTTATAATTAATAAATACAAGACAAACATAGCTTATTTTGTGTAACATTAGGTAACTGTTTTTAATAACTAATAACACTGATATGTTCTGATTTTAATGTATTGACATTGAATGAAACGCATCTGTCATCATGGATGTCATAACTCGTACGATAAACGTCAAATATTTTTAATTTTTATTTTGTACCCAATGAATACTTAAAAGTAGGTTAAAAATGTTGCTTTATTCCATGCAGTGGCTTATTTCCCTTTCCTATTATGTACATGTCATGGCCGAAATTCCATACAAAAGTGAAATATCTCCATAAGTCCATAGACTCTAGATTCTTTTTAAATAGGTATCTAAAAATTAATTTTATATCAAGGAAAGAGGTTATTCTGCCAGTAACTTTACGGCCGAAAACTTAAAAAAAAAAATTAAAAGAGTAACCAATACATAGAAAATTAAAATAATGAAATTAGATATAATTATATACTATTATATATATAGAGTTGACAGGGTATGAAAATTTCCGTCAGATAATGAAAAAAATATTAGACATGTATTTTTTTATTTTGTCATACAATAGAATAATAATTAGATAAAAAAGATTTAAGTTTAGGATTGGGATGTCGCTACGTCCATTTGCAGAACGATGGGTTTTATTTAACTATTATTGCTGTGTAAACACCGCGTACCTACTTTTCTTATACGTCTATGGTAATCACCAAAATGTCACTACCGCTTCTTATTCTCCATTCTCCGATATCGAGCTGTAAATTGCAAAAAAACATTAAGAAAATTTAAATTGTGCTTGTTACTCTGGGGCATTAATCACAAGAGAAATTGCACTTTATTTAAAAATATTATACAGATAAATAAGATGATCGGATCAAAAATGTTTCGTTCTTAGCACTTCTGCTATTCTTTGGATTTTGGCAAAGAGTATAGGGGGAGATTTTTGGGTTGATTCCATACATAATTATACTCCTATTGTAGATTTTAGACTTTTGGTTTGTGTCTCTATGCAAGTCTCTATGGTTTGTATGGACTCGGTGTCTATGCATCCGACGACAGACGACAGACAGTCCAATTTGTCCGAATATTGCCATTTTTTTCCATAATGTTTAATTTAAGACCCATAAAAAAATTATGCATAATAAATTTCACTTGAAAGTTCATTAAAATTATATATTTTTTTCAATTTATTTAACTGCTAAATAATAGATAATTTTATAAAATATAAAAAAAATAATTTAATAAGCATAGACAATATGCGTGTAAGCTTTTTCAAGCTTCACGAAAACAACGGATTAGTATGTATGGTAGTGCGTTAGACTGATTGCGCCGCAAATTATATTCTCGGGTAAGTTAATAGTTTTATCATTAGACTATTTCCTTATATTAGAATCATGAATCATGAACAAACCAAAGTTTTTGTCATTTGGTGATGTTACGATCTTTAGCAAACACTCGTATCTATGCGGGGTGTGTGCTCTATATTTTCATATATACTTAGGAAGTATTTGTAATTATCTTGCTTATTGCATTTTGTGTAACCTTTTTTGTTATAACTCTTGATTTAATCAAAAAATTTTAGTATTATTCAATCGTTATACTCAATAATTATCTATGCATCATGAAGAGGTTATAGCTCCATAAAGTATTTCCTAATTCAGTAATTGTTTTTTTCAGTGATTCGTAAGGTGAGGAATGAATGTGAAAAATTATCAGAGTTTTGGTTTTCAATAAAGGGATCAAATTTTGAATAAGTTGGAACAAGCAGAATGGCAACTTTAGAGCAACAAGCTTCTAAACTTTTGGATTTCAATCAGAAATTAGACATCACTCTACTTGATAATATAGTCGGATGCCTGTACTCAACTGTTGGAGAACAGCAACGTACAGCACAGGAGATACTGACAGCATTAAAAGAACACCCTGATGCCTGGACTCGTGTTGATACCATATTGGAATATTCACAAAACCAGGAAACAAAATACTATGCCTTACAAATATTAGAGCAAGTTATTCAAACAAGATGGAAAATATTACCAAGAAACCAGTGTGAAGGTATTAAAAAATACATTGTTGGTCTCATTATCAAAAACTCATCAGACCCTGTAACTATGGAAAACAACAAGGTGTATTTGAAAAAGCTCAATATGATCTTGATCCAAGTATTGAAACGAGAATGGCCTCACAACTGGGATACATTTATAAGTGATATTGTTGGTGCATCAAAGACAAACGAAAGCCTTTGCCAAAACAATATGGTAATTTTGAAGCTGCTCAGTGAGGAAGTATTTGTTTTCAGTACAGGACAACTAACTCAAACAAAAGCAAAACACTTAAAAGACACTATGTGTTCTGAATTCAGTCAAATATTTCAGCTTTGTCAATTTGTCCTTGAAAATTCACAAAATGCTCCCCTAGTGGATGCAACACTACATACTCTGTTAAGATTTTTGAATTGGATTCCCCTTGGATACATATTTGAAATGAAGTTGATAAGCACGCTCATATTCAAGTTTTTGAATGTGCCAATGTTCAGAAATGTAACTTTAAGCTGCCTGACAGAAATTGCAGGTGTGACAGTCAGTAACTATGAGGAACAATTTGTTGCTCTTCTTGTGCAAACTATGGAGCAACTTGAAGCAATGCTCCCTCTCACAACCAATATACGTGAAGCATATGCTGCTGGTCGTGACCAAGAACAAGTGTTTATCCAAAATCTTGCATTATTCCTTTGTACATACCTTAAAGAGCATGGACAACTTATTGAAAGAAGAGGGCTTACAAACACTCTAATGAATGCTCTACGGTATCTTGTTTTGATATCTGAAGTAGAAGAAGTAGAAATCTTTAAAATTTGTTTGGAGTTTTGGTTTGCACTGGCGGCAGATTTATACCAAGTTGCACCATGCTCTCATACATCTAACATGTATACATCACTTGGCAAGAGTGTAGGCAGGAAAGCCTTGTATTCAGAGGTTTTGAGCAGTGTCCGCTACATAATGATCTCTAGAATGGCTAAGCCAGAAGAAGTATTAGTGGTGGAGAATGAGAATGGTGAAGTGGTACGAGAGTTTATGAAGGACACTGATTCAATTAATTTGTATAAGAATATGAGAGAAACTTTAGTCTATTTAACACATTTGGATTACCAAGATACTGAACGCATCATGACTGAAAAACTTCAGAACCAAGTGAATGGTAGTGAGTGGTCATGGAAAAATCTGAACACACTGTGCTGGGCTATTGGTTCTATCTCAGGTGCAATGATGGAGGAAGATGAGAAAAGATTTCTTGTTGTTGTAATTAAAGAGTTGTTAGGACTTTGCGAACAGAAAAAGGGGAAGGATAATAAAGCTATTATTGCTAGTAACATAATGTATGTTGTGGGTCAGTATCCCAGATTCTTAAGAGCTCATTGGAAGTTTTTGAAAACTGTGGTCAATAAACTTTTCGAATTCATGCACGAGACTCACGATGGTGTCCAAGACATGGCATGTGACACCTTTATAAAAATCGCAATCAAGTGTCGGCGTCATTTCGTAACTGCGCAGGTTGGTGAAGCTTGCCCCTTTATAGAAGAAATCTTAAGCACTATCAGTTCCATTATCTGTGATTTGCAAACTCTACAAGTCCACACTTTCTATGAAGCTGTAGGGTATATGATCAGTGCACAAGTGGATCAAGTGGCACAAGAACAGCTCATTGAGAAGTATATGCTTCTGCCCAATCAAGTTTGGGATGATATAATATCTCAAGCATCACACAATGTCGATATCTTGAAGGATCCAGAGGCTGTCAAACAGCTGGTTAGCATTCTCAAAACGAATGTACGTGCCTGTCGTGCTTTAGGGCATCCATATGTTGTGCAATTGGGTAGAATATATCTAGACATGCTCAATGTTTACAAAGTAATGTCTGAAAACATAAGCCAAGCAATTGCTTTGAATGGTGTTGTTGTAACAAAACAGCCACTTATAAAGAACATGCGTATAATAAAGAAGGAGACACTTAAGTTGATTGCCAGTTGGGTATCACGCTCTACTGATAAAAGCATGGTATTGGAAAATTTCATTCCTCCGCTTTTAGATGCTGTTCTCTTGGATTACCAAAGAACGGCAGTGCCAGATGCACGGGAACCTGAAGTTTTGTCATGTATGGCTGCAATTGTTTATAAGCTAGAAGGGCATATAACATCTGAAGTGCCCAAGATATTTGATGCAGTTTTTGAATGTACTCTTGAGATGATAAACAAAGACTTTGAAGAATATCCAGAGCACAGGACAGAGTTCTTCCTGCTATTGCAGGCAGTGAATACACATTGTTTTAAGGCATTCCTAAGCATACCTCCAGCACAGTTCAAATTAGTATTGGATTCCATTATTTGGGCATTTAAGCACACAATGAGAAATGTGGCCGACACTGGTCTTCAGATTTTATATCGGTTGTTGCATAATGTAGAGCTGCACCCACAAGCCGCACAGAGTTTTTACCAAACTTATTTGTGTGACATTTTAGAACACGTTTTCAGTGTCGTAACTGACACATCTCATGGAGCCGGCCTTACCATGCATGCTACGATATTAGCATATATATTCTCCATTGTTGAAGCTGGTCGAGTTACAGTACCTCTTGGACCCACACCTGATAATGTCCTCTATATTCAGGTAATAATTGTGCTAATGCTAATAAAAACTATTTGTACCAATCACTACATAAATATGTAACTGAAATGAACTCATTTATAATCTACTTTTTTCATTTATATTTGCTTACTCTGTCTTTATTTTTTACAAAGTTATTGCCTGTGTCAGTATGGTGTATAATTTCTGTAATTATATTTTCAGGAATATGTGGCCAACCTGCTGAAAAGAGCATTTCCTCATTTAACAGACAATCAAATTAAAATCACGGTTCAAGGGCTTTTCAACCTGGATCAAGATATTCCCGGATTCAAAGATCATTTAAGAGACTTTTTAGTTCAAATAAGAGTAAGTAGTTGTAGTAGTAGTATTAAGGACTATTAGTGCTAGTAGTAGTTCACATAATTATATACTAGAGAGTAGAGGCGACATATACATCGAAATAATTAAAAATAATTAATGAAATGTAAACAAAGAGTGAAGACAAAACTAGAAAAGTTAAATTTTATTATATCTGATATTTATCTGAGAATCTATAGTACTAATATTTAGGGCTGAAGAGTTTGTTTGTTTTACCCATTGTGTGTCTAAACGTGGATCCACTCGAGACACAATGTAGTCTCTATTGTTGTCTTATGTACGGGCATTCAAGCAGTTAAACATGCTTCAGGAACATGCTATGATTTAAAAAATATTCTGGTATTGGATAGTACACTTACTGTGGGAGGCTATAAAACATCACACTACTGTAAATAGGAGCAGAACAGCGGTTGAAGCCGCGCGGGGGTAACCAGTTTTACATATTTATGATATTATTGGAATATACCTGATTTTAAATATGGAAACTGGAGTTGTGTAGACTGTTATCACGTAGGGATGAGAAGCTTTAATAGTTAAGGGTATCAACTCGCTAAATATATATTTTAAAACAACAATGATAATTATTATTTTTATATGTGTATTGAGAAGTTGACACAATTTATTTTGATTGAGTTGGCTTATATGATTCTTAGGGTCCTTTCTCAAAATTTTTTTATTGCGATACCTAGGTTTTTCTACCTTGTCTCATTTTAACAGCTTAGGGCCTAGTACGAGTTTGTTTTACGTTTAACGCGATCGATGGCGTTTATGACGACCAACCTATCAGAGGGCTGAAAGCGGTAACGTTTTGATTGCGTTAAACGTAAAAAAACTCTTACTATGTCCTCTGATGCGCTTAATTTATTGTGATTTTAAAGATTTTTATGTGTTTCTCAATTTCATGTAATTTTAAAAGACATTGAGTATTGTTATATTTAATAATGTTTTATATTACAGGAGTATACTGGTGAAGATGACAGTGATTTGTTTTTGGAAGAGCGCCTGTTCAATCTTCGTCAAGCACAAGAAGAGAAGCGAAGAGTTCAGTTATCAGTGCCAGGCATTCTCAATCCTCACGAATTGCCTGAAGAAATGCAAGATTAACTCTAGTTAAACTTCAGAAATGGTGACAGTTCACAATATTGCATGGATTTAAGTCTGTTTTTGTGTGGATCCGAATATTTGAGGAATTCGAATATTCTTATAATAGTGTTATGAATCATTTTAATCAATTCTAGAAGTTGAAACAATGCAATCGTAAATTGTATTTATTGACGTATCTCCTTCTAAACACCCTCATAAATTTCTTAAGAGGTTTTTAGTAAGCATAATTAATTTAGTGGACATTATACAGAAAATGTTCAGCTCTTAAGATAGCAAGCATAATGTGTCATTTCTCACATATATAGGTTTATTAGGTACTTAATTTTTAAGTTTTACCGTTATGTCTAAATGTCTGTGATGCGTTATTATCAACATTGCCTACTACCGTTTAGGTCAATTAGCATGACCATAATATTGATATTTTACTATTACAGATACTAACAACTTGCACTACTGTACTGGCTAAACTTGTAAGGCATACCATTTTATTTATGACATACAATGTATAATTATTATTTTATTCTGATAGTTTCTTTTTGCTAGATTTCACAATACATAATGACTGACTTAACCCGTGTATGGCTTAACTGGGCATATTTTGTGAACTGTTGCCATTTACACTGGTCTATATCTTGTGCCTATAAAATGATACCTTATTGTGACAGTTTGTACAAAGGACCGCTTGGAACAATGCGAGGTGATGAATGTAAGGAAAGAAACCTTTTCTTTATAGGTATCTTTTGCAAGCACAAGGCTGTTTGGGCCTTTAATTATAGGCAGGAAATCATGCATCCATTTACATTGCTAGTGAGGAAGTAGGATATTTCTATGTTTTTAAGTAATCTTCAAAATGTAGGTAATGAAATCTCTGTGATGGAAACCAGTGACGGAAATTCAACATAATGCACTGCAGAATCTGAGTATTACTGAGTAGATTCTAGGCGAACTTTATAAAGTGACTTGCTGTTAGTAATATTTTTTATGTTTTGTTTAATGTTGTCGAAACTAATTTGGTAATGGTTTGGGAATCCGAACATTTGGTAAGGTTTCCAAATGCATTTTGGGTCCGATTAACTGTCAGTCTTTCAATTTTGTGTTTCAAATAAACCATTAAATATGACAATATTGTTTTATTTATCTCATTGAATGGCATAAGTTTTTCATTACCTACCTACATAATTTTCTGAGGACAAAGAGCTCATGGATGGCTAGGTCCTTGCTAGTAAGGTGTCCACTGTATTCTACCAGCAATAGCTGTATTCAAAGATATTTTTAAAGTTATGACGAGTAGCGTACGAACATTTTTTTCTTGTAAAAACTCTTGAAGTTTTCAAGTAAACCAATATTTTATTTTATAGACAAGATTATCTTGTCTATAAAACATAATTTTCGACAAGATTAAAAGTTATCCTAATTTTGAAAATAATATTTCTAATGTGGTATTCGTAAAAATTGATTGAATGCAGAATGCCCAATAATGTATGGAGGGAACACCCAGAATCTATTAAAACAACATGTGTGGCAAGGTAGAGTACAAAGAATATCTCAAATCCAATATATTGTTAATAATGGTACTAAGAACTGTGGCGTCCAGCGAGCTTACCAGAGCTTACCTGCCACAGTTCTCAGTTTTTTTTAATTTTCTCAGTTAGTTTGGTATTGGCGTCCTACACATACCATCACGTACTACGTAGCTCACTCAACTGAGAGTTCGTAGCAAGATGGTGCATGCAAAACCTAAAGTGTATGTGTGGTATAAAACTGATATGCTTGTCGGTATTGTATGCACGGCTAAAACCATCATGCAGAACCTAGCGTGTATGGCCTCCTTTAGATTAACCATCACCACGTAGTAAAATAAGTCCAGTTTAACATGGTCTCGCTTTGTATGGACTTTCCACAGACTCAACAGTCAGTTTATACTGGAATATCAAACTAAATCACTTCGAGGTGATAGTAATTTTGTAGATTTGGGCCCAACCAAATCCGAAATTCTGTCTAACTTTGATATCATAAGACTTCAATGACCGACGTTACTGGCCTGTTCGATTATGGCTTTGGCGAAATTTAATAGCAAATTGGCGACCTCATAGTTTGTTAAATTGTTCATAGGTAAATAATTTTAATCGACTCTGAAGATAGACCATGAGCGGAGCGTAGAGTAGTGGTGGCGGTGCCAAAAGAAATTAGGGGTTATAAGATGTTTGCCAGGGCGCTCTCTAGGTTTAATTCTTTAGTCTGCACTGCTTTACTTCAACGGTAAATAAAATATAAAAGCATTTCAAGTATTCAACACAAAGACAAGATAAGAGGTATAAATAGTGATGTCGTGGTAATTTAAATAGGCGTTTTTTCGGATAAATATTGAAAATGGATACTGATTATTTTTATTCGAGTAATAATCCAAAAAATGACAAATTTCTATTTTTGGGTATTTATCTTAAAAATCGCCCATCTGTACGTGGTAAGATTTTAGCAAGTATAACGGAGTCTGAAAAGCCTAAAACTAAATGCCACTAAATGATAGATAAAAAAAAAAATTATCAATGACAAGTGGATTGTTAAAAATCAATTTCATTTCATATCATTCATGTTAGAAGAAACGTAGAAAGAGAACGATGAGATTTTCTTGTCTTGAAAGCAAATGTTGAGTGCTATTTAAAATACAAGCAATAAGTAATCCAGCAATACCTAAATAATCAGTATGGCGGAATCTGATAATCTTAACTCTTCCAACAGTCCTCCAGGCGAAGCCAGCAATGAAAACAGTGTGGTGGAAGCGAATAGATCTTCTGAAGATACTGTTGATGTAAGTATACAATTTTTTTCTATTAAAATGTTACAAAACGCTTTCAAACCCAATTTAACAAGTTTCCTATGTGTTGGAAAGAGTCAAAAACAATTTTAACCTGAAAAAAATGATTGCCATGGAGGCCAAATTATGACAACCAAAATTAAAAAGAATAGTAATCTTATCATTATTGTTTTAGGTCAATGCTCAAATCGATGAACAAAGGCGCAGAATGCAGCCAACTAAGATGGAATCATTCTTTGCTATTACAAAGTCCTTGATTATAAGGGCACTAGTGGTTTATTTCATCACTTCTATGTTTCGGCAACCATCAGCGCCCAAGACTGACCTAAGCAATCCTACAGCAGCCCCTCGTGTTCCTGCTATTAATATGTTTGCTAATGGCACTGTTTTAGATATGTACTGCTATGTATCAGAGAGAGAATTTTATTCCAATTTAGATGATTCTGATTTAATTTGGAAACAAACTGGGATTATTTATGGTGATTGGCTGGGAGGTCCTAATAATGATGGTACCTTCACTCACTCCACCACCATTAAGCCTTCAGATTCATTAAAGAACAATGGATCAATCTATCTTCACGTATTTGTGGTTCAATCTGGAAAATCACCTGACCCTAAAAATAAAAATGAATATGGTGGACCATACATCACCTATGGCAAAAAAATGCTTAATAAATATAAAAAGTTGCGTTATATGAAGACACACAACTTGTTAACAGGGCAAACTGAAAAATCTGCTGAAGAAATAATTAAGGCTGAAACCCTTAAAGAAGAAATTGTATCACACTGGCATCCAAATTTAACTGTCAATTTGGTAACAGACCAAACTAATTGGATGCAAGGCAGCGTTCCACCTCCATTAGATGAGTTCATCTTCTTTTTGCCAGATGGAAAACAGTATAAGCCTGCAGTTTTCTTGAATGACTATTGGAATATGATGCGAGATTATGTACCAATTAACAAAACTTCAGAATCATTGAATCTTGAGCTAACATTTCAACCTTTAAGTTTGTTTAAATGGCAGTTGTATACTGCCCAAGCAATGAGAGACAAATTGAGTATGTTTTCAGCACTGGGGGCTGAAGAGCAAGATGAAGAGCAAGACACTGTCAAGGAATTGCTACTTGACACTTCACCATACCTGCTTGCACTTACTATCAGTGTTTCAGTTTTACATTCCATATTTGAATTACTTGCTTTCAAAAATGATATACAATTCTGGAACAATAGGCAGTCACTTGAGGGTCTTTCTGTGAGATCAGTATTTTTCAATGTTTTCCAATCCACAGTGGTGTTGCTTTATGTCCTTGATAATGAAACAAATGTCATGGTCAGAATTTCATGTTTTATAGGTTTGCTTATAGAAGTCTGGAAAATTAACAAAGTTATGGATGTGAAGATAAATAGAGAGGAGCGTATCTTTGGTATACCAAAACTAAGTTTTACTGATAAAGGATCTTATGTTGAATCTAGTACAAAGCAGTATGATATGTTGGCTTTCCGCTATCTCAGCTGGGCTTGCTTCCCTCTTTTAATTGGATATGGTGTATACTCATTGTTATACCAGGAACATAAAGGATGGTATTCTTTCATATTAAACATGATGTATGGATATTTATTGACTTTTGGATTCATCATGATGACACCACAACTGTTCATTAACTACAAGTTGAAGTCAGTAGCACATTTGCCTTGGCGTATGATGACATACAAGTTCCTTAATACATTTATAGATGATATCTTCGCTTTTGTGATAAAAATGCCAACAATGTACCGATTGGGTTGCTTCAGAGATGGTAAGTGTTAATTTTATGAAACATCTTTATTGTCTAAATTGTACTAATCGTTTTTAAATGTATTTTCAAATCTTATCATTTTGTATATCTATTATACAATGTATGGGCTCGCTGCCGTTGCAGCGGTAAGTCCCCTCTTTGAAGAAGTGGCTTAAGAGACGCTGTGGCGTCCTCATCTACCGCCTAACGCAGGTGCTTACCGGATATGGGAGCTTCGGGAGGTACCTGAGTCTGGTAGGGCAGGAGGATAAATGACCGGGTGTCACCACTGCGAGGACCGCCCTGAGTACACGGTGGGGGCATGCCCTGCGTAGGCTGAGCACCGCCGTGCCCTCAGGGATGTGATCGGCGACGGCGCCCTCTCGCGTCCGGCCACAGTCGGGGCCATGATGCGGAGCGAGGTGGACTGGGATGCCGTCTCCTCCTTTTGCGAGGCGAGGCGCGTGAGGCAGCGAAACGCTGTTTCCTCACAACCCAGCCGTCGCGACGGACACTCCGGGCGTCTCGGGGATCGCAAAACGATCTCCGGCCACCGTAAGCAAGGGCCTGCGACCAGAACCAGACCCCAGCGTACGGCGCGTTACGTTCCGCGTATGAGTGACACTCCCTCCCGCCTCACCTAGGCGGGAAAAATATTCGATGATTTTCGCCCCTTAAAAAAATATACTATATATATATGTGTACATATGTTATCATTATCAGTATTAACTTGTGTTAGGTTCTCCCATTCATTATTTGCACAATGTGAGTTTGCTTAGACTAACTTCTTTGTATATTGTAAAATGTATAATTATGCTACAAACGTTTGTTTCAAAACATTTTAATTATTTACAGATATTGTATTCTTCATCTTTTTATACCAACGTTGGATCTACAAGGTTGACCATAAGCGGGTCAATGAATTTGGTTTCTCTGGTGAGATGGAACAACAACAGAAACAAGTAAAGAATGGTACTCCAGCTATTTTAGAAGCAGAACAACAACCAGTTGACAAGAAAAATGATTAATTAAATTTAATTGTATATTAGGTAAAGTCACAAGACAACCTCTCACTTATTTTGAGTATTTAGTGGTGGTGTACCCATAGCCAAATCATAGTTCTGAATGTGAGAAAACTTGTGGTAGATTATGAGAAAAATCTATATAGATTCTAATATAAAGATATCCTGATAATTGAATATTACTTACCCACACATATAATATATAAGATAATGGATAATATTAAATGTTCTCTTGAGTAATAAAATTTATCTTAAGATAGCTTAGTGCTCTTTCACATCAGTTTTGATGACATGTCACTGGGTAATACTTTATTTTGCAAATATATGAATAAATTTGGGTTTGTCCTTGTTATGACTATGTATTAGAAAACTAAATTTGTGTGCATAAGCCAGAAGCTTTTGATATAGTATTTGTGCTATTGATGTATAGTATATAAAATTATTTCGTTTGTTTTTGAATTTATTTATTGATATTGGGCTCCTATTAGATTTGCTTTATAAATATAATTCCTAAAATTTTGTACAAGTCACTACTTTTTATTAAATATTGTAAAGAGTGTATAGTTTATATCAACAATTTTTTTTTCAATTATTATTATCAGAATATAGTGATATCAAACCAGATCTTGTTAAAAATGTCATGTAAACAAACTGGGACAACTACTGCGAGATAAAAGACATATTTTCTTAAAAATAGCAGACACTTAAGTATTTATTTAAATTATTAAGTAAGAAGTGAAGGTTGTGTGATAACAGTTTGTTCTTGATCTTCGTTTCTTCTTTATTTTATTGTTAATGTTGTGTACGTGCGTTATTTTTCAGGTAGTACATTTCTATTAAGTAATATAATAAGAATAGTTGTAATAAAATATTGACACTTGCAAGTATACTACTGATTCACCCTCTAACGTCACAAATTTGAATTTGATAAACTAAGATTATGGAAAGCAAACAAAAAAAAATGATTGCGTTGTTTAAAGTAGATAAAATGTTGACAACGTATTAGAATTCTGCTGTTAGTTGGTGCTTTAAGTATTTCTTATACCATCCTTACAAATAATAAGTACCTAACTAATGATTTTATTAGAAAGAGTAGTACATTTACGTTTATGCTTACAAGTGTCAATCAACAAACATTTGAATTCATATTATAATGTTTACTTAATCAATTTTGATTATTATTATTATAATATATTTAATGTAGCATGTTTGTGTTTTGATGACACAACGATTTTTCTTATAAATTAAATACATTATTTGGAGCACAATATATTATTTTATTGCATAACTATTACACACTGTAACATATTTTCGAATAAATTCGTTGTTTCAAGATTTGTCTTTGTTGTACCATGGTAATTTCGGTAATTTTATTATTTATTAAATAAAACAATTCGTAAATCCTGAATTTTTTATTCCCTAACAAGCTCGAAGTCTAGTAGACACAAATCCAAATTTCTATGTAATATGTTTGTTTGTTACAACGGGCAATTTATTATTTTGGTGACAGAAACCTGCATTTATAATTTCTAATTAAAAGTTAAATCACCAACTCGCATTGAGCAATCGTGACGGAGATAGCTGAAGGAAGGGTGTATGACATAGGCTGTTTTTCTCTTCTAACCCTCCACTTTCCTAAAATGGGGGTAGAGAGAGAGAGTCTGTACGTAACGCATTTCGATTAATTCCAATCTTCCTCCAAATGGGAGAAAATGGGAATTTTCGTGGCATGGTGAACTTGTAATCGGCGCGAAGTATCATCATCATCAGCCCGTATTCGTCCACTGCTGGACATATGCCTCTCCAATGCACGCCACTGAGCTCGGTCTTCAGCTTTTCTCATCCAACCACTGCCAGCCACCTTGCGGATGTCGTCACTCCACCTAGCTGGAGGCCCTCTCCATAGCTCGCTGCGCCACCTTAAATTGGTAGACCAGTCGCACTGTCAGTGTCCACGTCTCGCATATATGTCATTACTGGAAGGCGGAAGGACGTATTCGTTGAAGACTTTTGTCTTCAGGCTTTGAGGTATCTGTGACGAGAAGACTTGATTAAGTTTCCTATACGCTGCCCAGCCAAGCTGTATCCTTCTACGGGCATTCTTCTCGAAGCTGTTCCTACCAAGCTGCAGGGTTTGTTCCAGGTAGATGTATTCCTGAACAACTTCAAGAGGCAACCCGTTGAGGACAATTGTCTCCGGAATGACATGTTTATGGGCGAAGTATCTAAATGTTTTAACTTTCTCCAAACTATTTTGAATATTTTTTTTATGCCACCACATTGCACAAAATCTTGTTATTTCATTCAAACCACTGCCCAAGTAGGTATAGTTTATATAGGTACCTACCCCAGGTATAGTTTGAAAAAGATCTCTAGGTCCTTAATATTACTTCATTCAATAAAGGAAGACATCAATTACGTAAAATACAGATAAAAATAAAACAATAAAAATTTACAAATTTGATTTAATAGACACTTTTCAATTATCCATTTTTTATAACGTATAAACAAATTTTGTGGATATTAATCATTCATCAGGCAGGTAGCCACTAATAATAATTAAAAAAACGATATTCCATCTATTAAAATACATCGGAGAGTAAAGTATGGGCGGTATATATTTTTACATAATGTTAACATTTTATTTGTCGTACCTTAAATTGTTTCTACAGGTTTTTGTTTTGTAAGCAATTGGTAATAATTAATAGAATAAGAGCCGGCAGTAGGTAACGAAAAAATCTGTTTCATATTTTCATTTTACATTATAAAATTTTATCACAGATCTCCGATACCTACTATATCTACATAAATTATTATATGAGGTCCATTGGTCAATGACCAACATAACGAAATATTTAAAAAAAAATAAAGAATAAAGATTCATAATTCAAAATTATGGTATTGAGCGCGTAAGCGAGCTTAATTGCACTTGTTACGCAGTAACATCAAGAATCGTTTGTTTTAATGAGTTGTTACGCGGAGTGGTGCTTTTGTCCGTTTTTATTTTTATTTCTACCAGTACTAGGAATAAGTGAAAATTATATATGGGTTGTCCTCAAGAGTAGAATTGGAATAAACGGACTTTTGTGTAGAAAGTTCGGCAATACTTAGTTAAACCTCGGGTGTAAAGATTTCAAAAGCCCATGTTAACTCATTCTAAACACGTTACTGTAGAAATTGTGCCAGATATTATATTATTTGATATTTTGGCCTTTTGATAGCATGGGTAATTTGGTCTCTATGTATAACATTATGGGGCTGTATTACAATGTCTGGATAGCCATTAGATTATATATTACAACGTATGTACCCAGTACCAGATACATTTAAATTAATCTGTCGCATAAATGTATAGGGTAGTTATATGAAGGTGGTCAAACCGGCGCTTACACTAAAATATTTCACACTATCACATTTTTACAAAAGTAAATTTAATTAATGTATGACTGCAATACCTACTAAACGAACATTACTGAGTTGTTTCCATAACTCAAGCACTTGACGACACAATCATGTCCAGATGACAAATGTATGGCATTATATAATTATACTCGCTGTCTTTGTAGACATAGTATGTAACAGTGCATTTCATTAGTTCGGATAGATACGTTGGCCGGACTTAGGCTGTTACCTAAAGGGACAGCCGGGCGCCCAGTGGCCGCGGGCACCACACGAGTAGCATCGCCCGTAGCCGCCGTAGTAAGCATCGGGAAGTCCTTCTATTGTCTCCGCAATTCTTCTGTTACTACTATTACCTCCGACTGCAAAATTATATTAATAGTTAAATATCTATCAGAATAGTTATTTATAACAATATAATATTAAATGCTATGTGACTTCGTGTCCAAATTATTCAATTTATTTGTCTGTATGTAGCTGGACGCAGACAACAGACTACCAGCAGGCAGGATACCAGCGTCTCTACTACCTCTACACCTTTTTATATGGGACAAAAACGGGTCCAAACTAATTTTTTTACAGTAGATTGTAGCAATTTTATTTTAATATTTACGTACCCCGACCACCATAGGCGTCGTCACTGTCAAGTCGACTATCGTCACTCTCGGTGTTCCATTCATTTCCGTATTCGCCGTAACGGTCGCCGTAGAAGTAGCTGTAAACATGTACGCTTGAAAAAAAAGTTTGCATTTTCAAATAATTAATGACATAGTTTCAGAAATAGGTAGGTACAAAATCTGACCGCCCAGAAACATTTGTAAAGAGCCACACTTTGTAAAGTGTGGCTCAGGTGCTAAGTGGTACCGTAAGGTTTTATGGTCCTTGGATTGAGCTGGAACTATTGGCGAATTTACCTATTCTAGCCACAATTTGTATGATCAATTTCTTATCAAGCGTTACCTAATTAGTAGCACGAAAAAAGGAGATCTACCTAAAGATGGAATGAATAATACCGCGTATCTAACAAGTGTAGCCGATTGGCCAATTGGTTATCATTAAATGTATAGTCAGATCCTAATTCAAATTGAGCAAAATATAAAATCGCCTAAAATCAGATACCTACGTGGAATTATCCAATACGCTGGTTTGCCTATCCCAAAAGTGGATTAACACAGAGTGTTCTAGGCACTTACATAAAAATCCATATTTATTTCGGCGCCGCCGCCGCTCTATTGGCACGCGCGTCTCGTGACGCCCTTTCGTAACCTGGTGCCCTAGGCACTTTCCTAGTTTGCTTTAGGAATAATACTGTAATGCTTAGAAATAATAACAAAATAAAATTCTGGTATATCGACGCTTAGTAATCACACACGGGCTAAATGTAAGTAGTACATTTGGAAGGTACTTACTGTACCGTACCGATAGCAGTTATATTCCATAAGTTTATGTTATGTAACTTGTTAACCTAGGGACTATAACAGCTACACTGTTACAATCTTGCATATAGCAGTATGATTGCAAACTTACTCCTCCTCTGGTTCCTCCTCGCTCTCCGCGAATTCGGAGTACTCTTCGTCGTCTGCCGAGTTGTAGCTGCTGCTATTTCCTCTGAAAACAATTCGGGTTTTGAAATACCAGGAAGCTATGCATTAAAGTGACATTTATGGAAGGTGACTGTGACAGAGGTGGCCAGGGTGAGAGAGTACAAGATGATGCATGAAAGACAATGATTATAATTACGATAGGAGCAGGATTGATTTCGAGATCAGTTAAGGTTAAAAAAGTCTCTTAGATTTACATAAAGTTATTTGGAACTGGGTTTACACGGCTTTAGCGTTGCACAGAATAAAAATAACAACAGGTTACGGTAAATACGAAGATAAGAAATGGTTTTTAACTGTCTTAATCTTGTAATTCTATTTAAAACACGTTTTCATTTGACTGTTCCCTTCTGTTCCATCGTGTCCAGACCAAACGAAAATACAGCCGGACAGTAGGTTTCTTCTTTATTTAATCCAAGATTACATCAATAAATTAAAAAGAACAGACCAGACAGCACACTTTAGCTTTCTATTTCATTTTTACTATGTTCTTAATTTTTGATCGTTTGGTGTGAACGCACCTTAAGATTTTGAGATATGAGATATATGTTATAAAAGTTTATATAAATAATATAGTAATGTATGTGCATACCGGCTGGTGTTAGCGTTGGACTGCCGGGCCTGTTCCGACTCGAGTTCTGTAACCAATACAGCTTCGTAAAGCTATTCACGTCATCACGTTACAATAACTACCCCATTAGTATTCTTTAAGGTATACACGTATTTTAGTTGACAGTGCGATTTATAAACTCGTAAACGTGCTATGTATCGTGACAACCGATGAAAATATCTTTGCCGAAATCATTTCATATTGTTTTTTGTAATAATAAGTGGAACTCCATATTCAAGATTTGACTAACATTTTGTTTTGTGCATTTTAAGAAATTACGTGAGCCTATTGCATGAAAAATAACAATTTCATACACATAAAAAGCTATTGCGTATTTTTTAAATAATACAAGAAGTGTAAAGATATGAAATTGTAAGCATAACAAACATAAATTACTACATTGTTGTGATTTTATGAATATGAAGCTGCATTGCCATAAAGTGCAACAGGATATTTCATCTTCTGACGAACTGACACTATCTCTGGAATTAATCTGTTTATTTCCAAATTGAACAATTGTTTGAGCAGCGTGTATTTGAAACAACATTGGGCAAACTGTATGATGTACCTAATAAACCAGACAGGGCCATTGACCAATTTATTATTTAGACCGATATTGACTGTAAAAACCACTGTACCCTCATAAGGTGCATAAGCTTATTAAAATATAAAAATACCAAGAACCACCTTTTTTTAAGTCGGTTAATAATCATTCGCAATTGTGAGTATCAATATAAGGAGATAAGAAAGATGATTACAACTACATAGTATAATTATTGACGTAGTGAGATATGACCAATGTCACTTGCAGTTTCAATATTTTTTTAATATAAACAATATTTTTGGTTTTTATGAAAAAGAAAGCACTGAATACATTTTCGTATGACAGCAGAAAGAAAAGAAATAAGCTCGAAATATCCTGTGCCCATTACTTGTACTTTTGTAGTTAAAAATATATACAAACCTTTCCTGCCCTCCAAGATATCTTTTCTTTTTTGTTTCATTTCTTCACTAAGACTTTGTACCATCTTCTCTATGAATGAATCCAAAACTAGACTCCTGCATTCAGATGTGATAGATGCTCTGAAATGTTTATAAAAAGGAGTAGATCATATTTTCAGATATACATGTGCTTTTTCCTTATTGGCGATTAGGTGACTGATAGTTATTGTACAGCCGCAACTGCTGAAGTACGAGAGTACGAGAACACTAAGAGAGAGGTTTCCCATGGAAATATGGGTTTTATATATTTATTTACATGTGATTAGCAGACATGACTTTGTAATTCTAGCTAGTAGGTATTAAAGTATAAAATTACTGCTAAATGGTTACCTGCATATAGGGCAATCTCTTTTCTTTTTTTTCCACACAGAAATGCAATACTTGCAAAACGTATGGGAGCAATTAAGTGTGGTGGCTTCTACAAATAGTTCGTTACATATACTGCACTGCAGTTCACTCTCCATCAGCTCGCCCATTTCTGTAAGCACCATATTCTTCGATGACTGTTCAATGGCTTTAGATGGAGCAGCAATGTTTTCTAATATTGTGTTCCTTTCACTTTCTACTGTTTGAAGTTGATTTGTGACCTGAAAAGTTTAATACAAAAATATGTTAAAAGTTATTAAGAAATAATAAAATGTTTTTTACTGATTTTGCTTAGGGATAGCATGGCACACGAGCAAACGGATCACGTTAAGCAATCGGCGCTAATGTATGTAAGTATAACAATATTAATTAGTCAAGCTTAGCTAGCTAAAACAAAAGTTTGTGATAGCAACGTAAATAAACTTGACAGTCATAACCAGTATAGGTAGTAGCGAAATTGCGATCTTCTGTTTGATTACATTTTTTTTTTTAATTCTTTTTTGATACCTTTTCAAGTTGCTCTTGCAATGTATTGATGACGGCACTAGACTGTTCCACCTGCTTTTGGATTCGATCTGCTGCTAACGCTGCCAGTTCTGTTTCTCTCTCTGTTACGCGCATCTGTTGTTACATAAGAATGTAGTCAAATATATTTTACTGTTTAAATTCCTCTATTACACACTCTCAATACACATAGGCAGTACACTTAGAGACTGTTTAATAAGGCAGGTTATAACAACAATACATAATTTGAAACATATGTAATTACATTTAGAATTTACCTTTAATTCTTCAAGGGATTTTTCAGCACTAGATTGAGCTTCATTATATTTCTTTTGTAATTCTTCTCTTTCTGTCATCTAAAATAAAAAGTATGGTATGAGCAGATTTTTATTTTAGCAAAAATTTATAGAGGCCTGTCTTTTACAACCCATATGACAATGATTCTGGTATACTTAAGTGTAACATCATGGACACATCACTAGAGTATTACTTCACTGAGAAAATGTAATTTGGCAAGAAAACACTCTACCTACAGACTATGTTCGGCCTTCATTTTGGATCATAGTTATTGAAGAACAGAATGTCAAATCACAGAATACAGAAAAAGTAGTAGTATAGTAGGCTGCGCGACATCGCCGCAACCGCGCACACTGCTCATGAGGAGGAGTCCCTTTGTAACTCGAAATAGGAAAGCTTTTCTCTGTATGTTTACGTGAGTAACTTGTAATATTTAGTTCAATATGTCTCACGACAGTTATTCTACGAACGGATACAGAAAAAAAACTATAAGTATGCATAATTAATTAAATAACCATAATTTCATCTACAATGTAACATACTTTGTAAATTCATTATAACAAGACATTTGATTTTTGAGTAATCTTTGGTAGCAGTAATTGTCTATAAATAAACTAATACATTACCAATTCTTTCATTTTTATTTGCTCTTCATCATTAAGTTTCTTCATATACTCCATTTGCTCATTAAGTAATTGTTCAGTTTTTATTTTTTCTTGTTCTGATTGTTGTATTTGTTCCTCCAAATTCTTTTTCATTTTATTCAATTCTTCCTTCAATTCATTTTCCCTTTGTATTCTCTGCTCTTCTAACTCTTTCATCTCCTGTGAATGAAAACCATCAGTTGTATTTTTTTGTGTGTTAAGTGTTTTTATAACACTTTTGGTATTAATATTAACGAATGAAACATTTATATTAGTAAAATATTAATTATTAATATCTGGTGATCTTCTAGTATTAGCGATATATTTATTTAAAATTCTCTAAAATATACATTTTTAAATACTACTTACATAAAATAATATTTAAAAATATAAAAATAGGAGCCAACCAGTAGTGGGAGCATGTCCAAGCTACCGGTGGTTAGGGCTTCAGAGACTGAAACCTCCTTACGATGCATGCTGTTTCAAGGAGAACTGGCTTCTGTATCAAGCCCTTGACCCAACTGCCTAATGCTAGCCTCCTAAGGTGGTTGTCGAGGTTGTTAGGAATTAACCCATTGGCGGACACGACGATAGCCCACCTTCCAACTTCGTGAGCCAAATAAAAATATTTTATTTGTTTATCTTTTTCAGTTTTCACAAGGTTGAGATATATTATTATTAAAAAGTAAGATTCATAGATAATTAAAATAAAGTGTGTTTATACCTTTTCCTTAGCTAATCTCAGCTGTTCTGTTTCTTTCTGGAGCATATTTACAAAATTTTGTCGTTCTTTTAACTGGATCTCTTCTTGTTCACGCAATTTTGCTTTTAATTTTTCTAACATTTCTTGTTTAGAAGTATTTTCTCTATTTAACTCTGACAAGAACTCTTCCCGTTCTTTTGTGAGTTTTTCTTTAAGTGAATTGTTTTCTTTTAGTAATTCTGATTCAGTTTCATTGTGCTTCTGGATTTGTTCCTGTAAATTTAACACAAGACAAGCTATAACTAATGTATTCTTGTTTAACCTAAGCATAACAATACTTAAGCGTCTTAACTTACCATGAGTTCACTAATTTTTTGTTCCATGTCATGTTTGATTGTAGCTAGTTGTATATCTCTTTCTTCTATGAGTTTAATCTTTTGTTGTTCAACTTCATCTTTCTCTCCTTTTAAATTTTCTATTTGTAATGCAAACTCACTTTCTAGTTGATGTATTTTTCTGTTCATATCTGTTTGTAATTGTTTTTTTAAAATGATCGATGTATTTTGCATTTGTTTGGCATTTTGTATCTTTTCTTCTATATGTTTTAATTCAAATGTTTGTGACTCTTCAAACTTCATTTTAACATCATCAATAATTGTGTTATTATGAGTGTTCTCCATTTTAAAACGTTTTCTAGGTGTCTCATAGTTCTCATTGTCTTGTGAAGGAATCACAAAGTTGAACATAAATTCATTAGTTGGTTCTAGAGATATAACATCATTATGAGACAAAGTTTTCTGATGTCCTTTGCCTACAGTCACACCATTAATTTTAACACCAAATGTGCTATAATCTTCTAGAATCCATTCATTATTATCACCTTTTGTAAATTTGCAATGATTTCTTGAAATTGAGATGAATGGCACTACTATGGAATTCGACATGCTACGTCCAATTGTGAACTACAATAATCAGAAAATAATTAGTTGGGTTGTTGGGAATTCGAAATGAATCTTGGTGTCAGTTTGTCCCCTTATATGTTTGTAGGAAGTTACAAAGCCTTTTCTTTTTGTTTAGTCTAGTAGTAGTAGATTATCAATAATCTGAATAATCTTTGTAAATTTTATAATACAATACATAGAACTTTTGAGGATGGTAACCAAAACTATAAGAATGGTATGATAGGAGGCTGACTCCTGTTACATGAGACTCATTAAATTACTGATGAACAATGGGAGTTCCATTATGTGTGCACCTTTGCTTACACCTCAGAATATCAAAAGGACAGTGAGTATCCCTACAGGCCATGTTTTTACTCGAGCACGCATATATGTTGATTTCTTTAATTAGTAACCAAATAATGATATTTGGTTAGTAATTATTACATTAATGGTTGGTAATTAACGATATTTCGATACGATTCCATTCACGTAATTTATCATTAGTAGGTATGTTTCAAATAATTAACATTATTATACTTACACCATCTGAGATTATAGGTATTTTATATAGATTTGAAAATTCTGATTTCAGGCTTTTACAAGACCTAAGAAAAGGCCAAGTACCACTATTTTCCATTGCAACTTGAAAGTAAAAATATATCTTCTAAAATCTTAAACTGCTTAAGTAACAAAACACAATTTAGAATTAAAAATAACACAAACATTCAACTCCTTATTTTCAACAAAACATAAATATTTAATTTCACAGTTCAACAAGCTAGACATTTACAAACTTTGTCATAGACTAAAGGAATAAATCAAGAGCTAAGACACTGATAAAAACATAAACACTTTGGTCTATGGTATTTGCAAATGTCAAATTTAGTGTTGCTATTTTTTATGACTATCAAAGAGAGAAAGTAGACTCGGTTTTATTTTAAATTAATGTGCGGAAGATTTATATAAAATATAATGTAAAAATAAAATAAAAATTGGCGTAAGTGTAAGGTTAGTGTGGTGGCTAGTTAAAGTAGGTAAATAGGGTAATTTTCTCCTGGAGGGAACGAAAGGGACTGTCAGTCAGGCTATTGCTGCTTAAAACCCAACCCTGGTGTCCCGTCTCATGCGTGGGTACGAGAGTGCGAGAAGTAGTCTGTGTTTTTTTAGGCTGCTACTCTAGCAGCGCGACAGGCGCCGCGTCGCGGATCGAGGAATGCTGCTCATGAATATGAGCCTCTAGCATGGCTTAAAACTAGTCGAGTTCCTCGTCAAATAATTACGTGTGTAAGCCGAAAAACAATAATTAATTTAGTTTGTGTCACGGAAAGTTATAATATAAACGTTCATATTTTTTTAATAACTACTACAAATTTTTTTTCAGTTTCGGAATCACTCGTCAGTTTTAAGCATTAATTTTTACTTTACAATAGTTTCTTGTATTACATATACAAAACCGACGGACTTCATAATTATAACTTAGTTGACATCTATGAGAATCTGATTGGTCACTAACATTTTGTTCAGTAATTACAAATTATTTACCTTTTTAAGCTATAATATCGTTAAGTACTCAGGTATTTACCTATAAATCCCTTAATGAGTGTTTTATTCCATGCATCGCAGTAAAAGTTAGAAATAGAAATAAAGTATTTTTACATACTTTATTTGTGTGCAAAACTAAGATACGTAAAGTATGCTCGATAACCCAAGTAGGGTAGGACCGAAAAAAAAAGATCATTGTAATTCTTGTAATATACATACATGCATGCAATGCAAAATCCTCTTCATCATCTTGAGTATATTTGGCATGACACATTTATCGATATCACTGATTTATTCGAAATGCGCTTTTGTAACGTTTCACGCTGTTCTTCAAAGTCTAATTTCGCAGAATTTTGTCTTGTTGGAGATACTTCCAAGGATTCGAGACAGCCGTAGAATATACATTCTACGGCTGTATCGAATCCTTATCCTTACTATTATAAATGGGAAAGTAAGTTTGTTTGTTTGTTTGTTCCGCTTTCACGCCGTAACTTCTAAACCGATTGATTTGAATTTTTGCAGACGTAAAGTTAGAAGTCCGGATTAAATAATAGGGTAATTTTTATCCCGGAAAATTTTGATATTCCCTAGGGAAAACAAAAGAATTGGTATAGATGGCGCTGTGTGTATTGGTATATGTCACATAGGCTACTTTTATCCTTTTGTGACGCGAGCGAAGCCGCGGGTAAAAGCTAGTTCTTTATACATACTTATAATAGGGAACATGCAATATTTTTAGTTTTGTTTTTATTTTAAAGGATCTCATATAAAATTGATTATATGCATATTAAAATAAAATAAAAAGTATGGTAAAAAATGCAGTTTTAAACGAACCGTTTAAATTTTCGCGCTAATACGATCCTGCTTCACTTCTCCTGTTTGAGTTCGTTGGCTGCACGTTGGCTGTCATAAATTGTAAAGGAGATCGGCAAACTTGCATAGTAAATCTGGCCCTCACTGACACGAATTAAATACTGTAGGTTCTCAAGGACTTATATATATTTTCTTTGTAAACTCACTTGTCAAAAAACGTCAGATGACATATAAATCTATATAATATTATAATAATGTTGTGTATGTTTATTTGTCCATCTTTTACGGCCAAAGGAAGCAAGAAATTGATGTGGTTTTTATAGAGCATTTCGTAATTTGTATAGAGCATTTCGTAATTTTCAAGGTAGAAAGCAAAAAATTGATATACGGACTACTTATTTAACAATTGTGCATATTGTATTTGTAAACTTGCCACCAACCCCTTATGAGAGCGCGAGCAAAACCGTGGGCAGAAGCTAGTCCATGAATAAAATTAAATTCATGCATACCGTAGTAATTTAGTCCCTTTCATTTCTACACTAGAAAACTCTGGACTCTCGACAAAAAAGTTACTACCGACGCTAACTCTTGGTAAATTCCTGCCGGGGTCGTGTATATGTATTAAGAAGATAATAAAAATATATGAATAGAATAGAATAGAATAGAATAGAATAGAATAAACGTTTATAATATTAAAATTCTATATTCTATAAAATTCTATAATACTAAATATACTATTACATCATCACTTAAAAATAGAATTTTTACAAGTGCATTTGATATGTATTTTTGGTACATTTTGTCCGGGGTCTTTTGTAGCCTATTGCCGAATTCTTTTCACACAATTTTATACATAACAATTATGAGAAGTACTGGGTTTAACCTATTATTACCGCCCATTTGGTCCTCGACCAGGGGCTACTTAGTATTTAATAAATAATAATAAAATATAAGATAATTTAAGAATGACTCTGAGAGTTATAGTTTATGCTGACGGGGAGGAGCCGTCCTCTTGTGAAGTGGTTTGCTTCTCTCTGTTTATTTAGGTAGTCTATTTCGCCTATTCTGTTAGCGAAGAGGAATGGGTTAAATTGGCCATATCTCGTGTAAGCATCGCCAGGGTCTTCTAGGCCTCCGATTGATAGTGATTCGAGTTTTTCTATCATATCGTGGTGTAGGTCGTGTGCTCTGAGATGCCACGGGTCCTGTCCAAGCATTTCCCAAAGTGTTTTGGTTTCGAGGCGACGTGGAAAGTTACCTGCAGCTTTCAGTGCCATCCTGTACTGTCTTTCCAGTTTTATCAGGTTGCTTTTACTGTATCTCGGTAGCAGTTGGATGACTCCATAATCGAGTACCGGCAGCAGGCACGCCTGTATGATGAGTAACTTTGTTTCGGTGTTTACCTTCGATCGGTATCCTATGATCGAGTTTAGGGCACCTCTTATTCGTTTCAATTTTTCTACTCTATCTTTAGTGTGTTTGTTCATTGATAGCCTCTTGTCGAATATGACGCACGCATAAAAATATATGAGGTACTTATATGTAAAAAGAAAATAAAATAATTATAATAGATAAATTAGTACTTAATTTAAATATGTTACAAATTATGTATTGTATTTAGATTAGATAGAAGATAGATTACAGATAAAAAGTGTGTTTTGTAAAGTATGGTTCGAACACTTTGGGGGGTATAAAGGCTTAAGTTGTGATAAAACCTTACAGCTATTATTAATATACGATGTCACTAAAAAGGCTACGCTTTTTTCAGTTGAAAGGCGAGCGATGCGTCTTAGTGTCTAGGAGTCACTTCTTTTATGAGATGACGAGGCTACGAGAGTGAAAGCATATTTCGGGGTGGATAAAACGAATAGATAGAGGGTCTTTAATATAAACGAAGCAGACTTTAGTACTCTCGAAAAATGCAAGCGTGGCTGGTGGGTACATATACTGAATTTTTAAAGCACAGTCAGTACCGCTAACCTCCGTAACTTGGCTTGCAGAGACTGAAATTTCGTGTTAGATGCTTCCAAACACTGCTGGTTTGTTAGTCGCTTAAATGTTTACACGGTTAGCGATGGTAGTTTACTAACGTAATAGCGTTATGAAGTTTAAAGCTTTTATACACCTACAGTAGTTTTAACCCATGATTAGGACTAAAACGTTTTAGGTAAGTATCTAATGAACGATTTCTAAGTACCTGGATTATTTATTTCTGAAACTACTACTTACTGTCAGTAGATACTTATTTTTGGGACCTACTCAATCTCAGTTTACACCGATACCTTTTAAGTATATCGTCTTAATATAAATCGCCATAATTACCTAGCTTTTTAACAACAATAACGACGGATGACAAACGAATTGTAAAAACACGATTTATTCAATGTTAAATTTGCCTCTGCAGAAATAATGTCAACATGAGTTCCACTTTAACTTGCATTCAGTTGTTTGTTGTACGTACCACAGAGATTTATATTGGTAATAATATAATCGTCTCAAACAGATATCAAAACTAACCAAAATTAAGTTGGTAGTTTGACTTTGTTACCTATCGTAATGCAATTATTGTGTTCGATATCTGGTGAAAAAAGTAAATGAGTTGTGTCGTCAGCCGGCGCGGTGGGCCACGGCTTCACATCGGCCCTCAATATATCAACGTGGACAGGACGAAAATTGGACTGGACCCTTGTTAATGTCCCGTACTTAGGCCCTTCCGCCCTTGTTTCTGATTATTTATTTAAGACCTATTGATACTTACACCCAACAGAGGGTAAGTATACCAAACAAATCGAACGAACACATTTATTTGCTTTCGCTTTTGAACTAAAGCACTGATTTATCAAAGAAAAAGCTAAAAATGTTTATCGTTTCAATAACTTTATGTGTGTATTGTGAACAGATGAATGAACTTATCCACAGTTCAGATAGTCATGTAGAAGTTTACCAGCTCATTATTATTCATTCTTCAGACTAAATTTTTGGATCGAACAGGGTACTTACTCTTGAAACCAATCTCAATGTTAATGCAATTTCAATCCAATATAATCTCAATAATTATTCAATGTCAACATTATACAACCACATTAGTAGCTGTTAAAATGGCATTCAGAGTACGGAATATAAAGCCAAACTCAACATAATTTAGTTAATTAAATATCCACGCAATACGGATGCAATGGCCGCTAGTGTTGCAACTCAAGAGTACGAAATTTCATAATGTCAATGTCGATCGATCGGAATTGGGTTCAAGAGTAAGCCCCCAGGTCTTATTTTAAACTTGTA